ACGGCATCTCGGATGGGAGAGTTCCGCTCGCCTTAAATGTAACACAGCGATCCACATTCATGAACAATACTACGCTCGATCAGCATCATCAATTACTGTCTCCCAGCGCAACTCATACTTCAAGTCCAACCGTGGGCGACGATAGTGCCGTCTTTGCGTCTGCAATGCAGTACAACGGGATGCTGTCAACACCTCCAAGCCATGCAACCCACACGCAAATAAAGCAATCACAAAGTCCAGCACTGACAAACAGTCCTGGAAGTATGCCGTTTACTCACCCTCAACCTCCGATGCGACACTTGACCAGCCCAATTGTGCGTGTTGAGAACTACAGCAGGGAAGAATCGCCCTCGCATTCAGATGACAATAGCAGATCCATTAGCAAACGAAGTTTCGATAGCCGTCGTGCTGGGAATCATCTTTCACCCTATCCCCCGGACCAATCATCTGATGATGGAGAAGTGCAGCACGAATATGGCCATGCACAGCCAACATTACGCACGCATGAGCGCAACGAAGACGGGTCTTGGGCAAAGACAGGTGCATCTGGTCAAGCTGGCCTCAGTCCAGATGATCGTCAGGCCATGGGAGATGCTTATATGCCCAGCATTGACGATATTGCAGACGAATGGACCAAAAATCACAAGAAGCTGGAAGTGCAAGAGTGGCTCACAAAGAGTGAGGTAGGTAGCGAGGCAGGTGATCTAAAATCATCGAACAGCTTTTTGAAACCTGTAGCTGGGCGGCGTCGTGCGAAGAGTACGAATGACGTTCAACGACGAGGTCCCATAGGCAATCTTGGGCTTGGCGTACGCACTACTTTCGATCAAATCGATGACAGCGGTATCCCTGGACCCGGTCTCTATATTGATGAGCGAAGCGACTATGGTGAAGAGGAGGACGAGGACTCCACCGAGCCCGAATCTCCCCCGGCCGAAGTCGACTATCAGAATGATCACGCTGAAACTTCGTACTTTCCTGATATCAAAGACTCGGTCCCAGTATGTGAAACCGATGTAAGGCCTTGGGTTGACGCGCCATTGCAACCAACCAGCCCTTCGTCTCGCTACCAACCGCCTACTTCTAATGCCGCGATGATGCGCTTCTGGAATCGAGCGAAAGACATCGAATCCGCTTCACTAGCCGCCACGGTCGGCTCACGACGACTTAGCGAATCCGATCTGGGGAGCATTCGCGCAGCGCCAGGTGTTGCAAGATTGATCGAGCCTGACCCAAAGAAGCAGAAAGACAGACAGCGTCGCCCGAGCTTCCTGGAAAACATTATAACCAAGCGAGCACCCAGCAATCTGCTCAAGCGCAAAGGTAGTATACCTATTCAACCGTCGCAAGAGGTGACTGAAGATAAGTCGAGGGATCCTGTCATCGAGAAGCCGACCCGGATTGGAAGCTGGGGCCGTCCGAAGTCTCCGCGAGTCGACACCAACCTCAGCAACCACAGCAAGGAGGCAGGGCCACTGAGCTCCGCAGGATTGTCTGCAGCATCGGGCCCCTGGTTCCGAACACCAAGGAACGTGATTAAGCGCAGTCGCAGCAGGAGCGACATAGGAAGATCACCTGGTCTCGCAGAGCTCATGACACAACATGGAGGCCCTCCAATGCCTATGCTCGCTTCACCACTGGCAGAAACTGAAGCGACACGGCCGTCCGGACAGCGAAGTACATTTGGAGATGATGAGGATGATGAAGCGGAACCTGTGACAATGGATCTTAAGGTTCGGACAGACCCCATTATTCCGTCATACGAGGGCTTCAGGACGCATGCGAGGCAACTGAATCCACGTCTGGCCGACTTCATGGTGGAGCGAATCACCCAAGAACAGATGCGACGATACAAAAGACTGCTAGAGTTCAGGGTCAAACACTTGAATGCTGTCAAAAATCACAATTGCCCGTCGAACAGCTCGTCAAACAAGTTCTGCACGGATCTTGGCGGCGAAGCAAATCATCTTCCCCCACGGGTTGGAAACAAGGATGCAGATGCACCCTTTATTGGCTTTCAGGTAACCGCGCCCGGCTCTTCTGAGGATGATGGAGACCCTGGCCCGGAGGGAACCGTTATATCAGCTCAATTTCCATCGGGTGTGCCCTTACCCCCTGTCAAACGACTGCCCGCAGAGTTTGAGTGTCCTTTGTGCTTCAAAGTCAAGAAGTTTTACAAGCCGTCTGATTGGACGAAGCATGTGCACGAAGATGTACAACCGTTCACTTGCACATTTCCCAACTGTGGCGAACCGAAATCTTTCAAGCGCAAGGCCGATTGGGTTCGACACGAGAATGAGCGTCATCGAAAGCTAGAGAATTGGACCTGCCAGATTGCTGATTGTTCTCATACTTGCTATCGGAAAGACAATTTTGTGCAGCATCTTGTTCGGGAGCACAAGATTGCCGAACCTCGACAACGTACCGGTCGAGGTGGTACCAAGGCCCCTACTGGAAGTGCTGATCAAGGTGAGCTTCGGTTGGAAATTGTGTCTTGGGTGCGCACTGATCCTTGCACAGACGACATTTGGGCCATTGTAGAGAGATGCCGTCGTGATACAGTCAAGCAGCCCAAGGACGAGCCGTGTCGTTTCTGTGGCAACATATGCAACAGCTGGAAAAAGCTGACTGTTCACCTAGCCAAGCACATGGAGCAAATCAGCATGCCCATTCTCACATTAGTAGAGCAGAAGCAGCTCAATGCTGATAGCGTGATCAGTCCCGTGGTCGAAATGCCGGAAAGTCGCAAGTTGTCTACCACAGCGAGTAGGTCACCGATGAATAATCCTTCGCGATACAACCCTGCTTCGACTTGCGCACCAGGCATAAACTCCAATACCCTCTACTACCGCCAAAATCTGAAATCGGAGGCACCAGTCAACATCATGCACACGTATCCGCCACCCCAGATGGTTCCCTCCAAAACCCCACAAGCTGTGCAAGCCAATGAATACTCCACCTATGCTGTTGGTGGGGATTTGCACTATCCGAATCAAACGTATCCTGGACTACAAAACTCGCCGAAACAACGCAGTGGCTATGTCGATGACATCCACGTACCTCACCAGGCATACTACCCTGGCAACATGCAAACTGGTGTTGGCTATTATAGCGTGAATTCGGTGGCTGCCATGCAACAACAACAACAGCAGCAGCAGGCCACGTATACAGATTCTCCTGTTGATACCACACCGTTCTCCTCTTATTACACCCAGGAGCCGCAAAACTTGGCGAGTGATCTACCCAACATGAGTTACGGTTCTACGAACGGAATGCGATACAATCAAGCGAACATTCATCCCACTATGCCATATCTCGCCACGCAACATGGCTACCATCAACAAAACCAATGATGTGATGTACTGAACGCAAGGGAAAAAAAACAGGCAGATGTGTGTTAGAAGGGATCGACGATGTGCTTAATGAGCTTTTGTGGCGATATTGTGTACATGGCTATCTGTCATTTTTATTTTCTGCGCTTGATATCCACTGTTACTCTTGAGAGAACGGTATTTGGGGGCTATGGAGAGGGAGGAGAAAGGAATCGGGTTCATAGAGTAGGATCCAGGTCTACGTGCTCGTGCTTTGCCACGCCATGACGTGGAAGAATGTCGGGCAATAATGAGCCTGTTGTGGGCTTTCTGAAGTCAAGAAAAGTGTTAATACATTGCCGTCATTCCAGCAGCTCACAGGATATCGCAGGCCACTCCCCAGCACTGTAGGAACGGAGAGAGGTATAGTGACAGCCGCCCAGGCCCCCCACCCACCTACCTGCACAATGCTCCTACGCTTGGTCACAAGGCCATCATGTGGAACCTCATTCCAACACATCTGCCAATTTGGATATTGCTGTGCATGCCTCTTGTCAGATTTTAGATGACCGGTCCAGGCGCACAGCAAATAGAGGGTCACTCCCACGTCCCCTCAGCAGCCCTTCACATGGTACGCACACGCACACACTCCGAACGCCAATCGGCCGCCAGGCATCAGCCTATGAATGCGATCATTGGACCATGTCGATTTGGAGGACGACACAACACAGCCACCCGCGTGAGGTCCTCCAGTTGTGTTTTCGGCACGAAAAGGCTTGGCATACCGGTATGCCTGCAAAAAGAGGGCAACCTTGGAACCGGGGGGCCGTCCATGATGGTTGCCTACTTTGAGAACGCGGGAGACCGCCCCTTCAGCATGAATGCCGCTGCCAAAATCGCGCATGTAGACACAATGCATCCAAGAGCCAGTAAGTCTCACTGATCCGCCATTACCATGACGACATACGCAGCTCACACAACTGCTCTTACCTACCGGACATCTTGGGTGAGATGCGAGGAGGAAAGTTAGGTGCGGTACCGGGTACCGTCCATCACAATAGGATCTGATTCCCCGCCGCGCAGAGAACCGTTAAACCCTTGCCTGCTACTCTTCTACACCGGCGACGCGGAGCGTGGGTACACGGACACGAAGGACTTCTTGCTGCGTTACGGGAACATCCTTTGTAGCGCGAATCGAGAGCCGCATAGGCTTGTCAGCGGATTGGGGCGGTGTGCCACAATAAAGAGCTACTAATGCAACACTTGCGCGCTGTCTACGGCGGTTTGCATACTCTCCAGTCAAGCATACCGGTAAGGCTGCAGGCAAGCTGAGGCTTGGACATTATCTGTAAGCGATCGACTTTCACCTATGGCTATTCTACGCTCTTTGGCTGCCCAATTCTCTCTTTTCGAGATTTCTTCATTTGACCCCTATCTGTGTTTCACTTGCGCGGGGAAGAATGTTTACGCTGGGTTATTGGACGCCTTGAGTAGCATGCTGATAGGTGATGATAGTAGGTAATGGAGTACCCACACACGAGCAGCCTGCCTTCAATTAGTTATCCGGCCGGAGAACCTGTAGGCTACATGATGAGAAGGAAAGTCTTGCATTCAGCTAACAGTCTTAGTTTTCTTTCGAGGATGCAGTTGCTCAGCCGAACATCGACCCTTTGCAATGGAACCATCAGAGGCAGACAAGTGCGCAGCACCTGGACGTGATTGCGTCCCTGCCTATGCACAGCACCATGACAATATCAAGTCCAAGTCCATACCATCATTCTTCGCAGTTCCATCATGCCAATTTGTCTCCCACTTCGATCAACAACGGTTCCAACATGACTCCTGACATTGCTCTGTTGGCCCCTCCTAGTCAATACTCCCAGTCTAGCTATGATCCTATAGCACGGCAGTTCCAGGAGCAGCCATGGAGCGTGAACAACCCCAGGACTAGCCATCCGGGTGGCAGTCGCAGTCCGTCCACTCAACCGCAAATGCAGTACAAAATGTACCGCGAATCTGGAATCAATGCCGGCTGTCCCGACTCGGCCTATTATTCTCAGTCCCAGCCTGCGCACTCGGTCTTGAGCAATGAACCAGACTGCTACAATGTAGAACTATCTCCGAGCGTCACTTTCCAAATCGAGAGAATGAATGTCAAGTCGCCAGCAACTGAAGCTCCTCCAATGGCTCGCGCACACTCTGCTCTGAGGTCACAGGGCAGTAGCCGCAGTGGAAAGTCAGGAAAATTATCAAAAAAGATACCTTGTCCCAATCCAGAATGCACAACAGTATCGAACTGCGAGTCGGAATACAAGTGCGTTTTCAACTTGGCTATCACATCATTTTCTGCTAACACCGCATGAATGCAGGAAGCATCAACTTCGACATTCGAAGCCATTCAAGTGCGAAGAGCCTAACTGTAAACGTCACGGGGAAGGTTTCACTACGTGCAACGATCTCGAGCGACACAAGAAGAGTGTTCACTGTATAGGTTTGGGCGCTGGATCGTTTCAGTGCGCATCTGAGAAGTGCAGGAATCCTTATAAGATTTGGCCACGTCTCGACAACTTCAAGCAGCACATTGAGCGCATGCACAAAGAAGAGGATCAGATTGATTTGATCAAGAAGTAAGAGCTCAACTAGTGTATAGTGGTAGACACTGATCCTGCCAGATCTGAGTATCATCCTAAAGAGCCGCAAGATCGATTTGAAAGTACAACTGTTGCTTCTGCTGACACGAGCTTCGATGTTGCGGGGATGGAAAGATCTTTGTCTGCAAATCCCGTGATCGACATTGCGCCTGCGATGGACATAGCTATTGTGGAGCACGATCACGCTCAGTGGTCCTCGTGGGATCGCAATGCGCACAATCTTGCACATCAAGTTTCACCGAACCCCGCTCAGCATTCGGGCCCGCTCTCACGTCAAGGCAGTATAGGCACCTGTAGAGGGCAGAAACAGCTACCTGATCAGCGAAAGCTAGGCCAGGGCAAGGCACAACCATCCTTGGCCGTTCCAGAAAGGCCATCAACCAAAGCTCGTTCAAGTGCTACAGGTCAACAAAACCAGCAGCCGAGTGAATTTCCGGAACTTTCGAATGCTCCACAGACAAAAGCTGAGCAACAACGGCTAGCGCTCTCCAAACTCTCGCAAGCCATGTTCCCGTCACCTAGTCCGGTAGACCTCGAGGCTCTGCTGGTGCGCATGCTCCATCAAGCCAAAGATTCCGCCAGCTGGGAGAACAAAGCTGGGAAAGGGCAAGAAGAAAGTACACGAAGTGATAACGATAGGGGGGAATTTACCAAGAGCGATGCTCTGCACGCCGTACAGGCAATCTCGAACCTGATTAAACAAAGCCGAGGTACTTCCTCCACGAAGGTACAGCGTCGCATGGCCCAGGGGTTCGTGTCGGATGCAAAAGTTTGTCCATTTTTGAAGTGTGGATTTGCTGTCGCTCGCAACTGCGACTTGCGCAAACACATGAAGCGGCATGAGAGACCGTATGGCTGCACGTACCCCAAATGTTACAAGCGTTTCGGTGCCAAATCTGACTACAAGCGTCATGAAAACAGTCAGCATCCTCAGCTAGAAGCATGGCGTTGTTCGCAAGTCGATGGGATTGGTAAGCCGTGTGGTGCCCACTTCTTTTGTGATGTACAGTACGCGAAACACCTTCAAGACCAACATAAAGAGCTGTCAGCGGAAGAGATACAAGGACATTTGGTCAAGGACAGAATGGCAAAGAATGGCCAGGAACGATTTTGGTGCGGTTTCTGCAATGCTATGATAGAGCTCCAGCAGAAGCGCAATGCCGCCTGGAACGAGCGATTTGATCATATCGTGGACCACTTTGACAAGGAAAAGAGGAGCATTCATGATTGGATTTGTGTGGAAGAAAACAAGACAAAGAAGGAGTTACGCGAGTCTGTGGATAGATGTGTCTTTGACGAGGACGAAGAGGCCAATATTGATGCTGACGGAGAAAACGTTGAAGACGTGGCACAGCATCCACTGCAAGACGTACTGCAAGTAGAGAGACGGGAGCCTGTTGAGTTTGAAACTCCACCTCCGCCGCCTCCTCCGCCGCCGCCT